ATATATATATATATATATATATATATATATATATATTTTTATTTATTTTATTTATTTTATATATATTTTTTTTAACTTTAAAAATAAATTTAAAAATATAATATAATTCAATCGAAAAATTATACGGTAAATTAACTTTGCTGTTATAAAATTCTCCTTTAAAAATAACAATAAAATTATTATTAACTAGTGTGTTAAAAAATTAATAAATGCAATAACAATTTTCTCAGTAAGATCAAATAATTTATCGTTTAAATAATTACCTTTCAAAATATCACATTTTTAAGATTAATAAAGATTAATAAATATTTATATAGAATTTAAAAAATAAATATTTAAAAGTATAAATTAACAAAATCTGAATAAAGATTTTATTTTAAATGTAAAAACAATTGCGATTAGATATTTTGATTTAGTAGCATTTTTTTAAATTGGCTACATTTGAGATAATAAATGAAAAAAAAAAAAAAGAAAATATTCTTTATAAACTAAAAAATGAAAATTCATTTTTAAATCAAATAAATTCATACGCGCGTATAACCAAATGTATTATTTGTCAACATATTTATGTTATATATGTATATTTGTAAATATAAAAAATATTTCTATAATAAAAATGGCATATAAAGGATATTATCCTTTTCCTCAGATCGATGAGGCGTCAGGAAAAGCATAAAAGATGAAAAGAAGAAGAGTAAGAAGAGGAAAGGGGGAGGGGGAAAGAGGAGTTAGTAGTAGTAGTAGACGAGTTCATTTTATATCACCGTGATTTACGAGGTTTCCTTCATAATAAAACAGCTAGGAAAGAGCTTGAAGTTAGACGTTACCACATTTCACCATCTTCCATTCTCATTTCTCCTGTATATTCCTTAAAAGGAAATCGTTTAACCTCGAGGTCGAATATTTCTGACCCCTAATTTCTTCCCCACCCCGAACGAAAGAGAAAGAGAGAGAGAGAGAAAAAAAAATCTAACTTTCGTAGGTGGTGAGTAGGTACAATAATGTGTCCTTGGATCAAAAAAGTTTGATCCTGATATCACGACGTGTTCGGCTTGTCTAAACTCATAAATGTCGAACGTGTGATGAAATTTTTACACGAAAACACATTGTCCCATTCCTCCTCCTCTCCTTCCTCCACCATAAACACGTTTACGCAAAAGTTCACACATATGAAATATTTATATATCACGTGGATGATAAGAACATCGATAAAATAAATACGATGTTTATTATTAGTTAAAAAAAACAAAAAGAAAAATGTTGGAAGGGTTGCTAATCTTGAAATGTTTTTAAGAAGAATTATCCCCATAATTATGAAAGTGGTCTAAGTCAAAATTTAAAAAAGAAAAAAATGAGTTTATCTGTCATTTCACATAACATTATTTTAAACTAAATTAAATCAATGCAATTTTCACAATATTGTTAAAAATAAACCTTTAGATACAGTGTTTGTTATTTCAATATTATATAGAATTTATTTAGTGTTCAAATGTAATTTTTTAAATATTGTGAAACAAAAGATATATGACTTATAGTTAGATCACTTTTATGATTATGAAAGTATATAATTACAATTATAATATAATATTGAAAGTAATATATTATATATGATATAATATAATATTAAATTTGTTTATAATATTAAATATAATATTATATATATATATATATATATATATTAATAAATAATATTATTAAAATAATAAATTAATAATACTTACATAATTTATATTTTTCAATTTGGTCACTTACTGATTACTTTTTCAAACTTTACCAACTTGTAAAAGTTTATCATTTATATTTTTTAATCTATTTTGTTTAATGTTTCATTTATTTTCATATTTTTTTTGTTTTTTATTGTTTAGATCGATTACAGTCGACATTTGGAAGAATTATTGGAAAGAACGGAAGATTTACTTTTGGAAAGTTTGAAGAATAAAATACACAATGGAGACTTGGAACAACTTGACAATTATCATGCTCTATTAGAAAATGTGAAACATATTTCAAACGGTAAATTATTTTATTACATCTATAACAATAATAATAATAATAATAAAATTGATGATATTTTTATCTTAAGAATAGCTAAGAAAGTTTATTTCATATATTGATCGTTATATTTTTCATAAACTTCAGATGATGGTGATAATATAAGAACAATGGCATCGGAAACTAAACTATTTTTGCAAAAAATCAACGAATTGTCCAAACTAGTTTTAAAAATAAAAACTTTCGAACCATCTTACGAGTTTATCTTAGAAGAAATCGAAACTAAGTTGAAAACATTGTCAACATCCGTAGAACAAGATAAATGTTTAAATGCTGGTGGAAAGTTTGAATGGGTTGACAGCGTATTGGTCAAAGTAAGATTATTTGTTTCTTTTTTTTTTTTTTTTTAATATGAATTATTATATTTCTTGTACTATAATAAAAATAATGATTATGTGAACAATGAAAAACAAATAACAATATTAATAATAATAATAATAATAATTGCTCAGTGTCTTCGTGATGGAACGTGGCTTTTGATTGATCAAGTAAATCAGTGCAGTCCAGCAGTATTAGATCGTTTAAATGGATTATTAGAACCAAATGGTGTACTAACCATTGGTGAAAGAGGAGTGGATAATCAAGGAAATGTGGTTACCATTAAGCCACATAAAAATTTCCGATTATTTTTAACGATGGACCCTCATTACGGAGAAATTTCCAGGTAATTTAAACAATTAAAAAAAGTCAAAGAAAGTTTATTAAGAATATCGAGAAAAAGATAGAAAGAGTGAGAGTAATGTTAATTAAATTGCTTTTAATAATATCTTACTATTAGCAAATATCGATTATTGAAAGTATATATCATACATTGTGTTAATTAATTTATTGAAATGCAATTCTCTTCATGATTTATATTAACCTGGTGTTTCTTAACTCATTTACGGTAATCCCAATATTATTGAACTGGGTTATATTTTTAATGACTTGTGTAAGATGATAACTACAAATTTATACCAATGTTGATAATAAAAAAGTGATATAATTAATTTGTAAAAGATATCGAGACAGTTATCGTAATTTTAAATTGTAATTTTTTTTTTCTTCTGATTCATTAAAAATACAGTAATAACGATTGTATTTGTAGAATATTATTAATACTATTATAAGTAAAAAATACAGCGTAATAGCGAGTTCTTGAAAATTTTAAATATAAAATAATATATTAAAAATTTAATTTATACCATTACGAAAATATTTTATGGTGTAAAGAAACACTGATTAACGATATAAAATAATACATACCTTGAAAATGATGTAAACGCTAAAATTAATATTAAAGTTAGAAAAATATCAATTTTCAGTGTAGACAAAAATATATATATATAATACATAATATTATATAATAATAAAATAATATACATATGTATATGTAAGTAAATTTTGCAAATACATTAGACCTGTGTACCATTTTTGTACACATAACATGATAATGACATTAAATGTACATTCAGCTTGGTAGAAAAGCGTGTTAATTAAGTTTATTACCTTTGTAGAGTATTTCTCTGACGTTTCTTATATTTTTATTTTCAGAGCAATGCGTAATCGTGGCGTTGAAATATACATGCTTGGTTCTAAAGAAAATTTTAATTACAATGACAGAGATTTGAAATCAATGTTGTATCATTCTGGAATAACCAATCGTTTTAATCAAAAAGCTTTACATGGATTATTTAAATTAATAGTTGAAACAAACTATTTTGCCGATTCTTGCAATATACATGATCTAATGCATTCAGCATTTCTGTCGGCTCGACGATTTACACGTGGTTTTGATCCAATTTCAGCAATAAAAACTGTTTGCCAGGATGTATACATCAAAAACAAATCCCTACAGTTTTCAGTAACGCAGGAACAAATATTCGAATTAATCAATGATTTTATTGATATTTTAATGAAACAGAATACCAATGATAATTACGTTGATGTAGATGCACTCACATGGAGTATTAAAAATTTACAAGAAAATTCTAAACTTACCATTATCAGACAGGAAGGTGAATTTTTAAGATCGGCGATTAATATCTACGCTAATCATTCACTTGAAAGTAATTTAAAAAAGATAACATCGGTTTATTGGAACGATATTCTCGATATGGAATCCATGAATGAAATTTTGCAGAATTTAAATGAAATTAAACTCGACAATATTTTACCACATTTATTGATTAATTTTTATGAAAGATCTACATTAGCCGATGTTGAGATCAGAAGTTTGTGGTATGAGAAGTTACCTGATAATAATGATACTTTAAAGGATCTCGCAAAAAAGAGCAAATTATTAGCGAGTGAAGTTTCGTCATTTGACTTTCATATTCCTAATAGGGAATTACCTTGGGATCTTGGATATTTACCTGTATTTGCAGCTAACTATGCGAACAATGAAATAATGAACGATGCAAATAAACTATCTTTACTTTTATATCTGCAAACTATGATTATTATAGATGATACGATCTTGGATGCAAATTTGTTGACTAAGAAAAACAAAACAATATCTATTAAGGAATACTCCAATGCAATATTTCACAGTAAGTTTATATTTTCTAATATTTATAATGTTTATTTATTGTTATAATAATAATAATGAATTTGTCTTTTTTTTTTACAGATAAACTTACATCGAAATTCAAAAATCAACCACTTATTATAAATTATGTAAAATTGGTTTATCGTATAAACGTATGCATTTGTTCTTTACTACGAGACAAAGGTTTATTAATAAATAACGAAATGTACATAGAAATTAGAGAAGGTTTAAAATATTTGAACAGATTCGTAGAATTGGGAAATAATATTATAATAGATAAATCAAATAGTAATAATATCAATTTGAACAAAATAGTTTTGCTATTGAAAGTACATTACAGATGGTTGATTAAATTTATATTTAAAATATATGGAATTTGTCAAGATCATTCCATGCTATCTCAAGACACGATTAATAACAAAGACATTTTATTAACTATGGTCAGTGAGATCAATGATTTATTATGTGAAATTAAACTTGATCCATTTAGAAAAATAACAAAACTGATTAAGAAACGATTGATATTACCATTACCATATAATTCTGAAGAATTATTGAAAAATCACGAACAAATGAGAGAAATATTAAGAAACTTTTTACCATGCAATAATGGTATTAATAATCACCAGTTAAAGAAACAACTTAAAATTTGGTTTATTCGAACTAACGAAGCAATTTCAATCCGTAAACAAATGATATTGTTATGGACGCAAATGTATTTAAAATTAGATTTGTACGAATCTATTTCAAATGAAATAATGTCAATGAAAAGCTTTTGTTATTTGGATTTTTTCAATTTGCACACAGATAAAGAATTAACCAAAGCTTTACAAAACGTCAATGCTATTGATCAAGAAGATTTAAACTCGATTGCCTTCAATATACAAATGTGGCCTATTTATGAATACTTGTTTTTATTATTAGCACATACTTCTTATAAAAAGATTTGTGAAAATAAGATAAACCATGAAATTAATTTAGAAAATAATTTTCAAATTGAATACAGTTGGTTAAAACATTTTGTTGAAGTACCCAGCATACCTGCTAATTTGATTGCGATAATATCTATGATTCATACGAAAAAAATTAACTCGTATGAACAAATGACATTAATTTTTGAATTATGCGTCTTCTTATTTCAATTTTCTCAAAACAGTTATGCCGTGAAAGATTCTAAAATGCTTTTACATTTGAAAGGAATAAGTGAAGACGATATAGAAAGTTCTGTTATTTCTTACGAAGTATCTGAGGTAAAGTATTATTATAATAATATAAAAGACATATACTGTATTTTGATTTATTAATAATTATTTGTATATTTTTAGGCACCTAAATACACGAGTGGAGCTGTATTGATGAATTTAATATTCAAATTAATATTACAAAAAACAGAACAACAACAGAAGGAAGATAAAATTCTTGCTGCAACCACGTTAGGCACATATACCATTCGTACTAAACAATTACAAAATTTAACTCATATTTTATGGTATAATGGTGTCACGCTAACATCAACGAATTACGAAATTGCCACAAATGATTTTGCAGTAATGAAATTTTATTTAAATTTATATGTGTCTGCTATTGACGATATGTATGCCGAAAATGATATAGATAAACTTATTATTTCTGCAATTGAAAAGAAAGGACAACATAAACGACAAGAAATAGAAAACGTGTATACAAATGAATATTTGAAACCGATAGAAGAATTACGTGAAATAGAAAAGAAATTTACAAATGAAAATACAGATAATGATATTGTTGAAAGAGGAAAAACTTGGATGTTAATTGGTTATTTGGAACTTCTAATATTTGGAAATTTGGGTTACATTGATCCTGTGCATAAGATTAATTTGAAACTAAAATATTTGGAAGAAGAAATTCAAGATATTTATGCAACAGTTTATGTAAATGCATTGCAGACTTCTATCGTAAAAAGAGAATTTAATTATGAGAATGCTCCTCCTCGATATTCAATAATGATGAAATATTTAACAAAGATATTAACAGAAAAAGACAAGTTGAAATTATCAGAAGCATTCCGACCGGCTTCGGCAGATTTTACAATGCTGAATAACGATGTTATTAACTTCAGAAATATGATAACATCTTATGAATTAGTTTACAAACATATTAATCGTTTAACATTTGTTATAAATAAGATCAATGAAAAACCATCTAAAAAATTTATCAAAATTGCTGAAGATTCGTTAAGAGAAGCACAAATGTGGTATCAATCGGTTAAACGTTTTGCAGAACAAATAGAAACGAAATATTACTCTGTTTATTCTGACATAGTTCTTCCTATACTTGTAGCATTGGTACATTTAAAGCAAGGAGTATCTCTTTTAATGAATGAAACAGAAAAATTAATATCTTCTGTTAAAATAGATTCCAATGAAGGTAATTTAGAAACATTGATCTATAACATGATTCGTTATCCAACTATAGGAACAGGACAAAATAATTTATTACATTTAATTTCTACGTGTACCTCAAATTATACTAAATTTATGATTAATAAAAGCTTGCTGCCTCTGGTAGATACTTCAGTTTCCGTGAAAGAACAATTTCGAATTGTTAAATGTGGTTTATATGAATTATTTAATTACATTGTATTAAACAGAAATTTATCTAAGAAAAATTGGGAATTGTTGAACGAGTTATTACAACAACTAGTAATAATATGGAAACAACAGCAAGAGGAAAGCGAGAAGAAAGCAGCCGAAAAAGAAAGTCTTTACAAAAATAAATCAACTGAGACGAATGATCTTACTGTCGAACTTCAAAATATGTTTCCAACTTACCGAGAGAACGACTTCATTGATATTGAAAATGCTACAAATGCTACTTTGGAACAAAATGTTGCACCCAAAGAATTACAAGAATCTTACAGCAACATCATTTCACGAGACGATATTAAAGAAATTCAACAAATTCATTCAATCATCGTTACATCTTTTGTCAAATGTGAATGGATCTATCCTGAAAATGATAACGTTGAACCAAACTACATTCGTCCTTTATTAGAACGATATGAAACAGCAGATATGTTGTTAAAAAGTATAAAATACAATTTGAATGAAAAATTTACCTCAAAATTGTACAACAGTTTACAAATGTTAGTCTCACAATCATTACAAACTACTGAAGATGAAAGTGTTCAAGAAACGATGCACAATATGATCAAAACTCATCAAAAACCTTATGATTTCTATAAAGATTCTAACATTCAACAAGTGAAACAATGTTTGCCATTGTGTAATAGTATTTTAATGAAAATCAATAATTTCTTAGAAATGTGGTCTGAACATCCTGTTTTGCAATTGATTAAGATTATAATAGAAAGAATTTATAGTTTTCCTGTAACATCTTCCGTTGGACGATTTTTAACGGGATTAGAATTGCTATTGGCAAAATTAAATAAATGGGAAGAACAAGCTTCTGCTGATTATAGTCTGATGAATGAAATATTGTTATTGCAACGACAAATCATTGATTGGAGAAAACTCGAATTAGCTTGTTGGAACAGTTGTCTCGATACCACTTTCAATAATATGAGATCACAAACATCAAAATGGTGGTTTTATCTGTATACACTGATCGAGAGTTATATGTTTAAATCTACATCTACAACGACAGCAAATATCATTAAGGAAAATGAATCTATCAGTAAAGAAAAATTAATAGAATTATTAGAACGATTTATCAACGAGTCATCTCTTGCTGAATTTGAAACAAGACTTATTTTATTATTAACTTTCCACTGTCACGTTCTTTACTTTAATCCTTCGGTAGAGAAAGAAGATCTTTTAGCAATATTGTGGAACATTTATCATTATTACAAACAATTTATAACTGATGTTAATATCAAAATTCAATCGCTAAAAGCACCCATTGAAAAGAAATTGAAAGATTTCGTTAAAATTGTACGTTGGAATGATATCACTTATTGGTCAATTAAAGAAACCGTTGACAAAACACACAGAACATTACATAAATTTGTTAAAGAATACGAAAATAGTTTAAAGCAAAGTGTTCTTTCGTGTTTAACTGTAACAGCTAAAAACAGTAACGCGGATTTAGAAAATAATTTAAAAACCGATAACGCTCAAAAAGAATACGTAATCAATCCGAATGATTTCGTCCTACCTGAGACTACAATTAAAGATATCAGCATTCAGGATGTAAAATATAAATTCGAATCGAAAAATGTTAGCTCTCGGAACGTGAAAAACGAATTTGTTTCGAGTGGTGAGAAACTTTTGAACAAAACTAAACGTTACTGCAAAGAAATCATTTTAACGAGTTCATATCCTACAATTCGAATGGACGTTGAGAATTTTATACAAGATTACATAGAACAGAGTATCCATTTGAAGAATTTAGAGATTGATAAATCGTTACCAAAAAATAAACAAAAATCACAAGCAAAGAGTATTTTGCAACAGAAGAAAATGACTTTAACTGATTATTTCAAAGCTTTGAATTTAATGGGTGTATCCTACCGTATCGGTATATTAACTTGGAAAAATAATCTTAGTAAAATTATTGATTTTACGATACCACCCTTAGATATTTCTGTCGTAAACAAATATTTCAAACTGTCCAAGGTAGATAAACAAATGCTTATACAATGGACAGGTTGCGATAAATATTATTACAAATCAATTATTAAATTAAATGCACTTAATGCGATATTAAGAACAGCACAAACCGATCTGGGCATACAGAACATAGAACGTTGTCGTGGTTATTCGAGTCATATGATGTTAATGGCTAATAAACAAAGATTAATTCTAAGTAAATTATTTGTTAATTATAAGCCTCTTAGAACGCTTGTTGAAAATTTATCAGAAATCGATAACGTTTACATCGATATTTCTCAAGAATTCAAAAACAATATTGAAATAATTAAAGAATTAATGGTCAATTTGGAACTCAGTTTTGAACAACTTTTGTTATACATGCAATATTGTCCAAATAATTTATCAGAGGAAAACAAAATTAACATATTAATTTTAGAAAAAACTACATTGCCAGTATTTGATTCTTCCAACAATATTCAGGATGATACAAAAACTAAATTGAAAGAAAATTTAAAATTCATAAGAGCAATTTCAAAAACTTTTAACACAGTGTTTGTTTCTACGAAAATAGAAAATATGATAAATGATAATACTTTTGACTTATATCATTTGCAAATTTTGGAAGATACTTTCAAACATATTACAACGTTAAAAATGGAAACAACTGCATTGTATTCAGCTTTTATTTCTGAGAATGATAAACATCCTATTGTAGAAAGTATAGAATTTTTACAAACACAAATTGAAAATAGCATTGATACATTCAACGAATTAAGAAAATTGCCGATTAATAAAAACGTAGATTTATCTTCAAATGATACAGAATGTATTAAAAAGTGTATAGATAATCTAGTCAAAAATATTTTACTTGTCGTACAAAAGAAATACAAAGCCAATACGATTGAGAACAATGCACCAATTTTAAACAATGATGATGATAATGTCAACGATAAAAACGATGACGATGAATTCGAAAAGAATAAATTGACAGAAAAATTAATAGAAGATTTAGAAAAGAATATAGAAGAATTAAACATTTCTCACATATCTGCATTGTTCAACAATCTTTTGTTCAAAATAGGTGGAAATCAAGATCATAAGAGGTAAAGTATTTATAAAATATCTTTTTTTTTTTTCTATGAAATAGTTCAATTGAATTGCATTTATATGACTATTATTATTTGTTACAGGCTACTCTTGCAATGTCTCCCATTAATGGAACAATATCTTTTATTGATACAGTTTTATTTAAATGAACAAGTTGCATCTTTCCGAGTTACGTGTAAATTATTGTATTTGCAATTGAATGTGTTTTTGGATTTAGCAACAAATGGATTCTGTGTTCCCAAAGATTTGGATTTAGAAGAGGGTGAAACAGATGAAACAGGAAATGATGTTAAAACAGGTGGAATGGGTTTGGGTGAAGGAGAAGGACAAAAAGATGTTTCCGATAGGATTGAAACTGAAGATCAATTAGAAGATGCAAAACGACCTGACGAAGAAGAAGAAAAATCAGAAGATAAAGATTGTAAAGAAGAAGATAACGGAATTGAAATGTCTGAAAACTTTGATAACAAGTTGCAAGATATTGAGAAAGATGAAAATGAAGAGGAAGAGGAAGAGAAAGATGATGAGAAAGATGAAGATTTGGATAAAGAAATGGGTGAAACAGAGGAAGGTGCTGAAAAACTGGATAAAGAAATTTGGGGCGATGATGAGGAGGAGGAATCTGAAAATGAGAATAACGAGCCTAAAGATGGTGAAGATGAACGAGGACAAGGCGAAGAGATTGGTAATAAAGAACTCACTGCAAAGGATGGTTCCGACAAAAATGATCAAAATAATGAAAAAGAACACGATGAAGATGAGCGACATGAGGAAGAGAAGAAAGAAATCAATGAAATAAATGAACCGGAATATAACGATGATCAAATCGATCCTTATCATGGTAAAAATCAACCACAGCCAGAACCTGAACCATTGGATTTACCGGAAGACATGAATTTGGATGAAGACGATAATGAAAAAGAAGACAATAATCCTGGTGATGAAAATCCATTTGACATAGACGAAATGAAAGATTCTAAACCACCACCAGAAATTGAAGATACAGAAGAAACAAAAGAAACAACTGAAGAAACGAACGAAATGGATGTTTCTTCTGATGATGACGATAATGAGGACACTAATAACGATGAAAATATAGAACAAGGGGAACCAGAAAATCAGGATAATGATGAACAAGTAGATGAAGATGCTGATCCTAAAGGTACATCGAATCCAACGCAAGATACAAATAAAGAAGAAGAAGAAGAAAAGAAAGACGAAGAAACAGAGGACAAACAAGAGTTACAAGAAAAGGCTGCACCAAGTGCAGATGATGCAAGCAAGGAACTTGATGCTGCAGAACAAATTGATGCTAGTAAAGATGGATCTAAAGATAATGTTATACAAGAATCTCAAACAGAACAAAAACAAGAGACACCTACAGAAAGCAGTCAAGATGACAGTAAAAATAATGGCGTTGGACAATCGCAATCAGAAAGACAAGAAAGTGGTCACGCAGGTTCATCTTTAGATGACAATAGTTCTATATCCCATCAAGAAAGTAAATCACAAAAAATGAGTAAAAGAAAAACTTTAGGCACAGCTGACGAAAATAGAAGTTTATTAGACACAAATGAACCAGAAATGAAAAAATTGAAAATGATTCATACACAGGAAGAAATTTCAGAACAGAAACAACAGGATCGATCAACAAACAAAGATAAAGATGATATTGATATGTGTCAACATATTAAAAATAGCGAACAATTCGATGATTATGCAATGGATGCAGCTACCGAAAATCAAGTTAAACAACAAGCATCAAATATCGAAGATGAAGAAAAGAAAGAAGAAGAGGAAGAAGAGAATATGGACATTGATCTTCATCAGGATGAAAATGAAGATAATAAAGAAGAGAATAATGTACCCAAACAAAATCCAGAAACATTAGCACGAGACAAAAAAGAACAAAATAAGGACGATCCATCGGCAAAAGGAAATACCACTGAAATGAATCAAATGGAAACGAATGTTGAAGTAGAAGGCGATGTTGCTCAAACATATAAAATAGAACGTGGAAATGATACAACGTTTCATACTAATATGGATGTAGAGAATAATAGTGCAATAAATAATGTAATAGAAATTGCTAGATCAGATGTTGAAAAGATCTTAAGCGAATGGACTGATGTACCATCGACTGAAGAAGCAGCAGTTGTATGGAATCGTTTATGTGAAGTCACCGATTCAGCAGCTCGTGGTTTGTCTGAACAATTAAGATTGGTTTTAGAACCTACAAAAGCAACAAGATTAAAAGGAGACTACAGAACAGGCAAACGTATTAATATGCGAAAAATTATTCCATTTATTGCTAGTCAATTTAGAAAAGACAAAATTTGGCTTAGAAGAACAAAACCTTTTAAACGTGATTATCAAATTGTCTTAGCTTTGGATGATTCGAGTAGTATGGCTGATAATCATTCCAAAGAATTAGCTTTTGAATCTTTATCATTAATAAGCAAAGCTTTAACGTATTTAGAAGTAGGACAACTTAGCGTTATAAGTTTCGGTGAACGTGTAAGCGTTTTACATCCTTTAGGAGAAACATTCACAGAACAAAGTGGTTCAAGGTAAATAACATGCTTTATATTTTACATGTTCTTAATATGAAATATGAATTTCAAATTTAATTGATTACTTTCAATATTTTTTTCTAGATTAATTCAAAATATGAGATTTGAGCAAACAAAGACATCGGTGGGACAATTAGTTGACTTTACTGTAGATATGTTTGAAACTCAATCTACCTCTTCTGATAATGCTAAATTGGTTGTTATATTATCCGATGGTAGAGGTGTATTTTCAGAAGGAACAGATAAAATAAATTATGCTGTTAGAAGAGCAAAAATGACAGATATTTTCCTTATATTCATAATAGTGGATAATCCAATAAATAAGGTAATATATTTTTTAAATTATTAAAATATGTCTTATTATTATTGTTGACAGATATTATGAAAGATAGTATTGAAAAAGTTTTTATAACAATGGGTAATTTTTGTATTTCTAGGATTCCATTTTGGATATAAGGATGCCTGTATTTGAAGATGGTAAATTATTAGGAATTCGTTCTTACATGGATAGTTTTCCATTTCCATTTTATATGATTTTGAGAGATATCAATATGTTACCTGAAGTTTTAAGCGATGCATTAAGACAATGGTTCGAAGTTGTTGGGAAGATAGATGCTTAATATTAATAATCAATTATATATTAATTATTAAGTATGTTTATGTACATTAATTATTTATTAATTGTATATTAATATTAATACTCAATTGTATATTTATTATAAAAAAATATATAATGTATATTATATTATTATACCGAACGACACGATTCTATTTTATTAAACTTAAAATCTACAGAATCTATCCTTCATAATTTTAAATAATACTAATTTAAAAAATTACGTGCTTTCAAATATAGAATTAGTCTAACCAATCGGAAACGTGCTTTTATAATACGACCAATCACGAGCTACAAATACAAATAAATATTTCGTGTAATAAAATATTAAAATATTACAATATTTTTAACGATTATAAATTTAATTGAATATAATTAACAAAAACAAAGTTAATTTAATCTCTAAATTCCAATTCTAAAATTGCCTGCATTTATAATCATACATAACCTTAAAAACAGTTTCTGTTTACATGGAGTAACAAGTGTATGATGTTGAACTAAAGCAATTATTATTAATTAAAAAAAGTGAAGATTAACAAAATGAATTCATTAGTTAATTGTTGTAAGAATTTATCTAAGACAACAATTAATAGAATAACAAATCAATATTTTGTAAAAGAATATGGTACACATTTGTCAGATTATAATATCAAATGGGTTAGACCTACGGTAATACCAAAATCAAAACCAGAAAAGAGTGGTGACCTGGGTATACCTCATGATGTAAAACCAACACAATTAGTTCCAGGATATGAAAAGTCCAAAGAATTACAAGAGTAAGTATAATTCTACAAGTGTACATAATATTATATACAGCATGTTCCAGCTTCTTACCAACATATTTCATAAATAAAAATAAGGAAGAAATGTTGCATAAATATAGACTTTTAAATGTTTTATTAAAAAGTTATTATAAGAATAACAAGAACATCCTGTATATATTTGTAATATTGCATTTAAAAGTTAGAAATTTTATATTAGTGCCAATGAGATCGTAAGAAGATTAGTTACATTACAATTTTATCCTCGGAAAGAAACTATAAAAACAAGAAGTGAGAAGATAATAGAATTGGTTAAAAGACATGGATCAGACCGTGGATCTCCAGAAGTTATGAGTACGTTTTATTTTATGATTGGACCAAAACAAAATTTTAGTCATGAACCTACCGATACTCAACGATCTGAAATTGACTAAATAAAATTGAAGGATTTTAATTTAAAGAAAATAAAACAATATAGCTTATCATACAAACTTTGTTTAGTTTATAAACCTAAAATAGGATAAAGTAAAGATCGCATAATTGTAGAATTAATACTGTGTTTAATGAAGTTTCAATTATATTGATGGTCGGTAGGTTTATGCGTTACTGATTTCTCATATGTATTTAAATATATAAACAAATAAATCTTTTTTTAAGTTGCTGCAATGACAGCTGAAATACTACAGTTACAAGAAAATGCGGTAAATAATATTAGAGATAAAAGAGAGAAAGTATTTTTAAGGGAATTAATAGACAAGAGAAATAAATATTTGAGAAAAATGCGCAAATGGGATTACAAACGTTATGAATGGATTTTAGAAAGATTAAATCTTTTTTACAAAGCCTTACCAACGTATGTATACCTTATTTTCTTTCATATCTTAATTAATTTTAAAACGATACATTGCAATTAATATATTTCTTTATCTTAACTTTGTTCAATAGAGATAATACTCCAGCTTATAGGAAGGATTCTTTAAGAAAATTAACGCAGAAGCATTGCGATAAAATAAAACAAGCAAAATTGGATGCTTATAAAGCTCAATTGAAACAAGAACAGAAAACATTTTTTAAAGATAAAGTGGAAAAACTTATTTTCATTAGAAAAGAGGAATTAGAATTAGGCTTGGAACCAACTGTGACGGAAGATGATATCGAAAGAGCAAGGGGTCAACTGAACGAGGTACTTAACGAACAAACGAGTTAATAAAACCTGTTGTTCTCGACGACTTTATAATTATAAATTATGCAAACTATGTTAGCATTAATAACAAAATTACATTTACCCTAAAATAAAAAGTTATTTGTGTAAATCCATTTAAAATAGTTTTATTTAAAATATTCATATGAGCTTTCTTTTTCAGTACTATATTTAAAAAAGAATATAAACAATAATAAACTCTAAATATTCTAATTTTGATATGAAATACCAAAACTAGAAAAATTAAATCCGAATTGGCAAGGAATATAGTAGAGAAAAATAATAAAAATAATACAAAGAGTTAAAATATTAACACGTAAAATCGAAAGTAGATTGTATTTAAACAATTTCTGTTTCCTTTTTCTTAATTAATTGACATTATTTTTCACGCATAAAAGTGTCCAGTCCTGTTTGATGGATATTCATGACGAAAATGGTAGAAGAAACTTCTTTTATCGAACGAGTCTTTATATCCGGTTTGTCAACTTTAATTCGGATTTGGATAGTTTCGTTAGAAAGCATATATCGGTTATAGGAATACCTCGAGACGAGCGCAAATAATTGGAGAAATTTGTAGGGAGTGGTTAGCAACCAGAATCTTTCACTATTGTACTTTTATTATGTATGCATTTCTCTTAAGTATAGGGGAACATAAGCAGAATATTCACGTAATATGATCACGTAAAAGTATTGCTCGGTTTATATATAAATATTCTTATACTGCATCTATAAACATAATAAAAAAAAACATTGAAAATTAATTCATCCGGATGATCAAACATAATTGATTTAACATATTACAAAAAAACGTATATGTATATTATAATTAAAAAAAAACTATACGAGAAAAATATAGTCGAACTTTAAAATAGAATTTTTTTTTTTTCTCAAATATATTCCAATTTAAAAATCGCGATAGATAAAGTTAGATTATAACTACTATATATATATTGTATACTATATTTTTCATAAAAAGAGAAATAAAATTGAATATTTAACGAGTCCTCGAAAAAATGATCATTTATAGGATCACGATAAGATCAATCATGGTTGCAACAATGATCGAACAAGATTGATCCCATCTTCAATTAAAAATGAATATCCTTGAAGAATATCGAGGTGAGAGAGTAAAAGGTGAAGAAAATGAGAGTAACGAAAAGAAAGTAATAATTGTCGAAACTATGATGTAAATTTAATCATTTTCTTTAGGAAAGTGTTTGAGCTTCATTAGGAGAAATGAGATCGACTATGTAAGTGTTGAATAAAATTAGCAGTTAAATAGAATCGTATTTGAGCAAACGTCTCGTTCCCATGCGCGTGTCGTGCGCAATGGATCTTTTAGATTGCACCGAGTTAAAGTGGTCGTCTTAGGACGAGCTCACTGAGAGGAAGAGAGGACAAGAAAAATGTGAGTGAACGTTCGCGGTATATATAAAGGAAGAGAATCGCACTGTTGGATGCTGCAACCGTCTGAGCACGCTAAGACTTCGTTCAATTGCCGATTTTAAATATTTCTCGTAGAACACCAAACAAGAATCTTTACAAAAAAAAAATAAATATCAAACAATCTTTTACTTCATTTATTTTCTTTCTTAGTTTCTTGGGTTTTTGTTTTACGCGAGGGTTTTCCTCTTTTTTTATTTTTTTTTAAGATTTGAAAACAAAAAGAGAATTTTATCAAGAAAAGTTCGACGATGATGTTGCTAGAGGTAAAACATTTCGAAAGGATTGATAAGGGTTGTTTGAATTTGATTTTATATTTTAATTCGTTTTAAAAGAAGGATTAGTCTTTTAATCTTTACCCGCGTGCAACTACTCGCCGTTTCGAAATCACCGTGCGAACGCGATGCTTTGGCTCTGTGAAAATGTATGTGTGTGTATGTGTGTGTATAAGTATAAGTATTACGGAATTATTTGTTATAAAAATTTGGACTTAAAAATTGATTTTTTTACGAAAATAATCTTCGGAGTGTCTCTGTAAAATTTAATTATAATTTTTAAATATTTTTAAATAAATTATTGAATTAAAATTAATGATTGTTTCTAAATTTTATTAAAAAAAAAAAATAAAAATAAATAATTTTAATTAATTATATATGTTTATTATATATAAAATAAAAAGTTAGGAGAGAAATGAGTTTAGGATTAACAATGATCATTATCTTAGATTTCTAAGTCGTGTCTTCCGTATATGTGAGTGTATGTGTGTGTATATGTGTTGAGAGAGGTCAGGATAGAAGTATCTTTTAAATTATGTTTCAAGAGAGAACAAGTTAGGATAAATTGACGTGTGGGTTGGCAATTAATTTCAAACGAACACACACATTTGTGTATTTCTAAAGCAAACGAATAGACGAGAGGCACTCCTTTATAAGGTACAAACTCATCGTTTCCATTTCTATTATGCAACGAGGATTTTACGAACACTATTACAAATGATATATATCTGGTGCACGCATACGCAACTCTCATAAAAGATCGCGTGATTCCCATAAGGAACAGTTCTTTCTCTAACTCTTCATTTCTTTCTCTTTCATTCTTTGGAATGTCTTCCTAAGATGACGAAATTACATTTCTTCTTTTCTTTTTATTTTATTTACTTTCAGATACTCCTTTTATGTTGCCTATTGCAGTTTAATCGTGCCGACGTTTTCCCAGAGTAAGAATTAGAAATTTTCTATGTTTAAATCATTAAGAATGTTTTCGAATAAATTAAATTCTTCAATTTGATGATAATAAAAATCTATAATAGTTTAATACTTCATTCGTTTCATCAATTAACAAAAAATAATTGCATTGTCAATATCTTTTAACATCTAGGACATTCATCGCTAACATAAATTTGAACGCATTAAATAAAAAATTGTAACATTTTTGGTTAACTCAATAAAAATGTACAGTTAATTTTACATAAATTTAAGATTGGTGTATTTTTCTTTATCTTTTTTTCATTTTTGGAAAGGTATACTCCGGAAAATTTCGAAAGTAAACGAAATTTCTATCCATGTTCATCGGTTGGTGGCTTACCTCTCGACGCCGCTATTCCAACTGCTATCGCGTGTGCTTTTAAATCTGGAATGACGGTGAAAAGAGGTTCCCATGCTTCTAGTCGTGCTCATTCACCTACATATGTGAAGGTATCTTCACCGATATCCTACAAACCATTACCAAGGACATCTTCATTGGTATACGTCGCACCACCCATCGTCAAATCAGCGTCCGCTGTGGTTGCAACCGATCGAAAATCTGCTGAGAAGGATGTCGATTATATGGTAAACAAAATATAATTATTAATATTAATGAGTAAAATATAAATTGTAATAAAAAAATAATATTCAGAGTGCTTTGTAAATTTTGATAGTACCGAAAAGAAAAAGATTCTACATTACAAATTAACATAAGTTGATAATGTAAGATAAAATTTGTTCGTATGAAATTTTGAAATTTTGAGAAAAATAAATTAAAAATTTAGTTTTCAGGATTGCAAATTCAATCGAGTGCACACTTTTTAAATTAATTTTATTCTATATTTTCGATTTGTTAGGTTTTTATGTAGTATCATCCTCTACTCGGTTTGTATCACCCATCCTGTATACCAAATTTGGTTTAGTATTTCTAATAAATGCAAAATTGCATCAGTACACAAAATATTTTATTATAAATACTAAATTGTTTATTTAGAAACACTGATACAAAGAAACGTATAAAAATATTAACTGAATAAATAGCGATTTTTGAATGAATAAATTAAATTTTAAAAAATATACTAAAAATTAATATTTTACTCTAACGATAAGACAGATTTAGTATTTAACATTATATATAAATATATATTTGTTTTTTATTTTTTTAGTCTTATCCTAAGTATTCGTTTAATTACGGAGTTATCGATGGATATACTGGCGATTCTAAATCTGCGTGGGAAGAAAGAGACGGAGATACTGTGAAGGGAGAATACTCGGTAGTTGAAGCTGATGGTACCATTCGAACAGTTTCCTACACGGCCGATGATCACAATGGTTTTAACGCCGTAGTCACGAGAAGTGAACCTCCGAAGAAAAACAAATCTTCAGAGAATGTGAAAGCATTTGTACCGGCATCCATTTTGAATGGAGATATTCAAAAATTGCGACATTGATCCTTCGTGGTAATCAATTTTGTTTCTTCTATACTTTTATGATATAATATATTCATTGTTATTTGTATTCTTATTAATTTTTTTTATAGGAACATAAAAAAATCGACGAAATGTAATAATAGTTCCTTGCAAGTAATTAATAATACTAATAAAAAAAGAAAAAAAAAATAATAAAAAATAATAAGAAATAATGAATTAAGGAATGTGAGACTTCAACATATATAAGAACTTTTCAAATTTGTACTTAACAACGCTGAAGTCTAACTTAGACTGTGCTTTAGCTATTTTATCTAAGGTACATAATGTATATATAATACATACTATATTATTATATTTATACAAAACCAATCATGTATTGTTTGGAGTTAATTTATTATTCAATATTTTTTATTATCTATCTATAAACGATAATTCTGTATAGACAGAAAATCTACTATACAGAAGAATCAAGAATTTGAATATACAAGATATTTGAGATTTTTTTGATTAAACGATGTCAATATATTCTATGCACGAAAATAAATTATACAATCTATGTTGTATAACTTTTTTATCATATTTTTGTGCATAGAATACTTTGAAACCGTTTGACCGGCAATACCTTGGACACTTGTATAAAGCAAGTGTCAGAAATAAGAATATTTAATATAAAAAGAACAAAATAATAAAATAAGACATTCATACATACACACACGCGCGCGCGCGCGCGCGCGTACACACACACACATCATATTTGTTAAAACAGCTGGACGAATTGAGATATATCTCACCGAAATATAACAGTACATGTAAAATATTTTTTTTACTACATTCGGACAGGTACATTACGAATTACATTTAAAACAAATTTATTATATCCTTTAATAATTAATTTACTCACGTATAAGATTCTGTCCATTTTATTACTGCATTTAGCTTATTATTGTATAGAAAAACATTTCCATACAATTAATATAGATATTTTATAAGTATTTAACAATGACGATGATTGCAATTATAAGAACGCTGATAGCTTTCTCTCTCTCTTTTTGTTTTTAATTATATATTATAATTACGTAATTAATTTATTAAAAACGCATTGTGCGCGCTAAATTTAATTTTTTTTTACATCAAAGGTACGAATGGTTAAAAAAGTTCATTCGGAGCACATTGCTTTTCAAATTTAATCATTTTTTTTGAAACCTATTTTTCTTTCATTTTTTGTAAACAACGACTCGTATTCCTTTTTCTAATGTCGATACTTTGATACCTTAATACACTTTGATGTTTGCATTAAATTACTTTGATGAAATAGAAATTTGTCCATAAATAATAATGTCACTTGTGAACACAAAGAGAAGCATGTAATTTAATGATCATTATTAATTCTATCTGTTTCTTGATCTTTTGTTACTATTTTTCTTAGCACTATTAGTAGATTTGGTTTTATTGGAGTCTTTGCTGTTACTATGGCAATCCTTGATTGGTGTAGGAACATGTTCTATGTTGCCATTGGACATAGGTCCATTGGAGAAAGTGGTGGAAGCAGAATCAGGGTTGCTAACAGTGCCATTATTTTGAGTATATCCGGCTTGTACAGAAGTATGATTCTTCCCACTTGTTTCCTTGTTATTGCTAGAGATTGTATTAGAATTGTTGAAGTTGCAATTATCCTCACTGCCACTGTTTCCAATTTGAGACTCCGATTCACTGTATCGTTCAACTGGAATGATCGGGCTGAGGTTAACGGTACACAATATGATTAAAATTAAACAAATTTAGAGAAGCGTAGAATGGAAAAAGAAAGCTCATTATACGTGCAATCATTGTCTTACAAGCGTATTACAAAAACACACCGACTAAATAGTTTTTATCATACATTAATTTGTAGCGATGGAAGTGACGAATAGATGCACACACTAGGATCAAGCTAAATTATTTCTATGATACTAAAAACAAGGATTTTAACAGAACTACCACTTGGACGTATTACAGAAATAACTTTTTATATCATAGCGAAGTCACATATGAAAAGATTTCCAGAAAATTAATTGACGGTCCTTTGAAGAGAATTCCATTTTAAGATTTTAACGTTCATGCATAATGTATACACAGTAATTATAACTTTAAATAAAATTATATTCGATAACAATGATTTCAGTCAAATACTTAAATGTTACATACTATAAAATTACTATTGTAATATTAAAAAAAAATATATATATATAAAGCATAATGGCACAGTATAAATAAAATCAATAAATGAAAACTTAGATAAATATTGCTACTTATGCGAAAGAAATTAATTAAAACTGCAATAAGTTCTAGAGAAAGGAAAATAAGAAAAAAAATACAACTAAGGCATTGAGATATTCATTTTTTAAATAAATAGATAATTAATATCCATTCAGGTCCTTACTTTTTTCTTGTGTGTTCTCCACAAGACCATTAACAGCCTGCAACAAGTAATTAAGATAAGCCGATCAAATATGTTTATTATGTCATTTTAATTAATTAGATACAATCATGTAAATAAGAATAGTTATTCACCGCCATCGATGTGATGGATGATTTAGAAAATAATCTTTCAGCTTCCTTGAATTTTCTGTTACGCTTATCAGCTTTGCTATTAGTATTTTTATTGCTGGCTAAATATCTGTCCCATCCTCTTATTATATTTCCATATAGTTGTGTATCTTCCAAGTAACTTCCCTCAAATGCATAGATTTGACGTTCTAAATTTGCTAATGTATCCTATGTAAATACAACAACATTTCAATTCATTTAAATAAATAATTATTATAATATATCTACAAACAAATTAAACAATACAAGTAAAGTTATTTAATTAAATAGATTTTCAACAAAATGATAAAATTAAATCAATAATACTGTGTAAAATAAGAACTTTAACCTAACAACATAACCTCAAAAGTCAATGCATGTCTAAGGCATAAAAATTCGTTTTATTTAAAACTATTTTTTATAAATAAACATAAAATAATTTATTTTTACTTTTGATTTATTAAACAGATCAATAAATTTACTGATAAATGTTTTCTTTTGTTTTATATTAAAGTACAATAACAATATTTTACTTACAGCAATTTCAGCTTTACGCTTTACAAGTTCCGCTAATTCGGCTCTTAAATCCACTGTGGTTTTCGTCGACATTATTGATTCACTTTTAAATGTTTATAATTATAATATAAATATATAATTTTTTAATGATAAAATTGTATCAAAGAGAAATAACTTTCTAGGCATAGAACGTTTTCCGTATCCACAAGTGCGAGTAAAATTTAAACTACTGTTGCATACGTACAGGCGCAGTAACAAAAATGTGGTTTATTTATTTTAATATTTCTGAGAATTAAAATAATGTCAACCAATCATAGATCTTTGAACGAGTTGGCGCGAATTTCTTTAAACCTTTGAAATCTTTGAAAATAATTTTTGACACACATTAGATTAATAATAATTATTTAAAAAATTAATTATAAGAAATTTGTATAACATTACATTGATTGATATAATAATAATATTAAATTAACAAATGTACTATTGTTTAAATATCACTTAACTATACTGGGTGGGTATTAAATATTATTGAAATAAATGTAAATGTATTAGCAAATATAAATAACTTAACTTTAAAGAATCGTGCGGAGTGCAAAGGGTTAAAAAATAAAAATGAAACATTAGAAATTAGAAAATATGTCTTAAAAAATATACCGAAATATGCAGCAGTACTTGCGTCATATAATTTACAATAAAATTTTGATAAATCGCAAATAATACTTATCCAGATCTCACTACAGGTAAATTGTTACATAGAAAATCTATAATTTAAAAAAAATATATTACTCAATCACATTTACATGAATTATTTAACTATATCTAAATCGATGAATACTTACATTTATTCGTATTACAAATTATAAAAATTAGAAAATTAGTTCTTTTGTCTCATTTATGATTGACTAATACTACTGAATTAAGAAAAACGAATTAGTTATTTTCATTTCCTAGAATTATTATAACAAAATCCTCGACTGTTTTATCAAAGTATTAGAGGTGTATGTATAATACTGTAGCACTTTATTTCCTCCTCGGAAGAGTAAGTTCGATTACAGGAAACGGTGATAAATGGAAAGGTAACTATACTATACATATATGTATGCGTATGTGCGTTAGGAATAATAACAATGCATATCCATCTTCATAAACTCAGAGTACCATATTGAGATATCCTGAAAAGGGATATATGTTTCCTTCTTGTTCTTTTGCTACAGTTACGTTAGTTACTACATTTTCCTCTTTGGCTTTAGAATAATACATGGTGTATAATTATATATTCTAGTATATAATTATTTTATGTGGTACGCACAAAAGATAACTTTATACACGCTATATATAAGATTAATTTAAGTTTATACCTTTTGAATGTACATATAATATATATATATATAAAAAGAGGGGAAGAGAGTTTCTCGCGACGAGCAAATCGTCCTTTTTCTTTCTTCGCTCCCACT